TCTGCATTAATGCTTGTGTGGGACTTGAATTGTTGTGTTATCTAATGCTTCTTTGATTTATGGTTAGACTGAAGTCTCTCTGAGATAAGATTCTTTTCTCTGTTTAAAAATTGCCTAGCAAAATCAGCTTCTGGTCCAAAACCAGGACACTGTGTGCTATCTTGCTGTTTTCACTGACGTGATAAAATAATAACAAATCAGAATATTGGTAGTTAAGAAACTTTTAATTCTCCAGCAGGTAAATGAAAATAGTGTGCACATACATGCTTAAACTCTCTTTCTTGTCTTACCCTTCTAAAGATGTCTGTCTCTGATATGAGAGTGACAAGTCAGCCCAGAAGGAAAATTCAGCTGAAGACCACAAAATGCTGAGGTTTTTCTTTGATTGTCAGTACACCCTAGAATGCACTTTTGCTTTTAGTGGCTTTTCCATTTTCTCACAGACATGGAATAGTACTTATCTTGCTCCATAGGCAGCCATTATGTCTGTTTTATCCACGTACAAAGCACAGGAGAAATAAAATGATAGGTGCCCTGATAAGGCAGATAAACTTTTGAAGTCTACAAATAACGCAATTCCTTTTGGCTGATTGATTTCAGGTAAGTGCAAAGGACATAAACAGCCTCTCTAAAAAAAAAACAACCCTGAAAGGTACGCATCTGAATGATGGATAACTGCAGTTCAAGTAGAAACACTTTCAGAAGTTGTTTTATGGAGAATTGTCTCACTCCGTCCGAGACACTGCTTCTATTCAGTGTAACTGAACGTTAGTTCCTGGGATTGAAATGAAATCTGTAGAGAAGGAGAAAGGTCTCCTCCTCCTACTCTACTGGTGGCAGTGTGTGTGTGAGCCACTCAGAAAGCAAAGCCCTGAGCAAGTTGGACAGCTACATTGCTATTTGGTAGGTTGGAGCAGTATCAGGAATGCAGTAGGCCTGTCACTGCAATACTTACAGCACCCATACCAGCCAGCAAACAACAACCCTCATGCCTCTCTGGCCCCTCACATATGCTGGAGATAGGCAGTGTTAGTGCTCTGGTCATGCTGTTTAATCTTGGAAGGCTACACCACATGCAATGTCATCCTCACCTCAGTCTAGAAAAAGAAAGATCAGACTCGGCTACAAGTGGGTCCAAGACCTGTGTCTTGCAATTTAGTGCTTACAGAGTATTCAAAGAGACTTACCATGCATTTGAGGTCTTTGTCTCTCTTCCTCCCCTTCTTGCTTTCTTCCATTGTATTCTTGTACATGTTTTCCTGTTATGCAGTAACTATTTTTTTTCTCAGTGCAAGTTTCAGCATGTACTATTAAAGTACATATCCTGCAACACAGTGTAGGCTTCTCCTTATGAAGATGGTGAACATTTATGGATAGAAACATCTTAGTGCATACATTATGCTCTGCTTTTCTCATCTTCATTTTCAATTATTTTTTCGCTTTTGTGTTTTAGTGCAGCAGTCCCATATCCTTCCTTCTCCTCTCACTACACAGCATGAGAAGCTGGGAGAACAGTTTAGTTGTCTTCCTGATTGATGCTACAGAACAGTCAGCAAGAGCAAGAATTAGATGAATTATGAGAGAGAAAGAAGCCTCAGTAGACAAAGAGCCTTGTATAAGATCATATTAAGCTGGAAATGATTGCAGGCGTTTAGTCTAGAGTAGCTGGTGAAATAGGCGAAGGCAGTTTGGAAGACATTCTTATTACATGAATTTTCCTTAATTTTTAGCAGTAGATTGTAACTTGGAACACAGGCTTCTGTAGGGGGGGAATTCTAACTCCCATCAGATATACATTGTAGGACTAGGCAGGCAAAACCAAATGATATTCGTTAGATTAAGCAAGTAGAGAGGTTTGGGACTGAGCAGAGTTAACAGCAACTACCAGCTACTACCTGGAAGTAAAGTTATAATTTTGTTTTGTGATGCTCTGGAATGGGACACCTTTGCTCATCATTTGTCTGAGCTCTGCTCATATGTACACAGGTTCTTGCCTTGCAGGATGAAATTTCCACCTACTTATTCATTCGTTAACTAAAATTTTCTACATCTGCCTTGAGAAAACAACAGTATGAAGACATGTATAGAGTGCTGAATTATAAATCTGTGGGGTCTTTTTTCCTGATAAATTCTTGAAATACCTTTGTTTATTCTCTTGTTTTCCTTCTAGCCTTAAGTAGGATGTTATGGCTTCAAATGATGTAATGCATCGTAAGTTGTAAAAACAAAGAAGCTGAAATGGATTCACTGGAATTTGCCCACTGTCAGATACAAGTATTTTATTTTGCATTTTCCTTGTTTAAATTACTGAGATGAAAATCCAAGAGGATAACTCTAAGTAATTAAATGATCTGTTCTTCATTTTTATTATTCCAATATTAACATTTCTTAGCTTAAATTTTAGAGAACAATATGTTTTTCCTAGGTGTCAATACCGGTTTCAAAGACACTTAGAGAAAACAACCCTCACTGAACCCATTTGGCTCTGAATCAGGCTCCTGCTGTTTCTTTCAGAATAAAAATAAAATTTGACTCAGAGAGAATTGCAGGTTTATTTTGTGTAGTTCTACCCTAGCATGGCATGTTGCCGTTGCCCAAGATCACTGAACTAATTGGAAATCATTCATAAGAACAGCAAGGAACAGCACAACTTTTTGATTTCCTTAGTGGTATTTCCTCCCTCTTGCTTTCCTTTGGTGAAATAAGTAGGCACAAGAGATGTTATTGCCAGAAGAGTGGGTAGATTTGTGTTAATGCCTAAGAGCAAATGTCAAACTATAGAAATGTCAGTCTTGTATGCTTTCGATGTATATAACCACATAGATTATTAGTTTAATGTATCTTTTCTTTGAAAACTTCATCATAATGCTCTCTTCAATCTTGTATTGAGCATAAATACGGTGCTACATGACAACTTCTCTAAATTTAGCAACTCAGCTTTGTAACATCAGGCAGGGAAAGGCAGAAGAAAGTTTGGGTGGATAATTTCTCTCTCTCTGAAAAGAATGTCTTTCAGAAATAGTCATACCAAAGAAATGCTTAGAGCTGTGAGTCACAGCATTAGTGGGTTGAACCATCATTCCATGGAGGAATATGGGCATACATTTTCAGGATTAGTAAAATGTAGAAGTATTATTTTTAATAAAAATATATTTTGGGATAATGGCACAACTATAATCTCTGAATATCTGAATTCTAAAGAAAGATTATGACTTAAGTGGAAGAGAGATTGACATGAATAAATTTGTTCTTTTTAAGAATATTGTTTTTTAAAATCACTTAAAATATTTACTTGAAATGCAAAAGACAGAGAAACCAGAGTTTCTAGAATAAAGCATCAGACACTTATATTCAAGATCTCTACCATACAGATAATCTCTGAGAAGTAGTGCTTCTGGTGCCTTCTACAGGCTTCATTGTACATGTACTGTTGTCTGTCTTTTTCATATTTATTTCTCTTTCCCTCTTCTGCCTCTGTCCCTTGTTTTCTAGCTCTACCCGTGTTGTCTTTCATGTCTTTTTTTTTAACTCATGCTTCTGTCCTGTTCCTCCTGTTCCTGCTTTCCACATTTTTTCATTCTCTGATTTCTCTCTTTTTTTTCTCTTCAGAGGAAAAAAAATTTTTCTCTTCTGTTCTTTCTGACTTAAATTTCCAAGGATATATCACAACCACAGGCTATTCCTTATGAAAAAGGGGTGGTTAAAGCCAGTTACGGTGGTACTCAGCATTAACATTTAAAAGTATTTTCCCCCTTCCTACAACATTCACCTACTATTTCTATGTATTCTCAAAGAATTATCCTGGGGAAACATTTTAATGCTAAGTGCTTTTTGGCCTTTAAAACTGCTTGGGTAGATGAATTAGAGCAATATATTCATTTTTAACCAAAAAGATGTTTTTTCCATAAAAAGTCTCTTTGAAGGATAACTTCACTTGAACTCTCTAAGGAAGCTGTATTCCCAAAGAGTTACATTTTATCAGCTGAAATATGTCATCCTGATTTGCTGCAGCTGGTATCAGAAAAATATATATGCAGCCTGAACATTAATCTCTGCTCAGTAGTGCAGGGTGAGGGACCAATAGATGTGCTATTGGATAATGGAGACAGTACTGGTAGGGCTTTGCCTGTTCAGCTCCTGAGCCAGGATGTGTGGAAATTAGCAGGCAGGGTTCTCTTATATTTCCTGTATATCTCTATTAAAGGCTTAGGGCATGATTGTTACTGGGGGATCTCACTGACAGGTATGCAAAGCTTTGGTAGTTTAAAATGACAGTAGTAGCTGTTGCTGTTTTTGCACAGGCATTAGTGGCAGACTAATGCCTTGGCTTAGGGAGGATGTTCTTTTATCACTTAAAATATTTCCATGAAAAGCAAAATACATGGAAACCAGACTTTCTGGAATGAAGCATCAGACACCCATATTCAAGACCTCTACCATACCCACCTCAGTAGGAATGTGAGTAAAAGCACAAAGGCTCAGGAATCCAGGGAATAGGAAGTATGAGTTTCAGGGAAGTCCTATGAACCTTTCACAGTGGGTGCCTCTTTCTCTGTAAGAGGTGTGGATAAACCAATGTTGTCTTATTTTTTCTGGGGTACTCACTGCTTTGTGAGCATGCAGGCAGTCAGCAGCCGTTTGGAGGCTTCTGTCTCTAACCTGGTTCCCCAAACAGAGTATCTACACCCTATCTAAATAATAATTGGATTAGCTTTAACCAGGAATTTAAAAAGGTTAATTTATTTAAATCTATTGTAGGTCAGAGCTTCTTAACTTGTTCTCACTCCTATAGCCTAAGTCAGGAATGTACAACCACCACATTGCCTGGCTTTTCTAGACCTTCTGTTGTTTGGACTCTCACAATTTCTTCTCCTTACTAAACCCGTTAAAATAGATTATGCTTTTGTTTTTCAAAGTATAATAATTTTTGATTCTTAAATATTTTGAAGGTGACATTTGTAATGCAACTATAATGCATGGCTTATAACAGCAAAGGATACTTATGGTCAAAGCCATACCATATTCTGAACAGCCATGCACTCTCAGCTTTGGTTGTATTTTTATCCAAGTTAGATGCACTCTGCAAAACAAACAAATGAATGAAGTGAAAAGCATTTTTATAAAATAAATAAAACATAGAGTTCCCATATTAAAAATGCATGTCAAACCAAATTACAATTAACTGCACTTTTTTTTTTAAATTTAAAAAGCTTTGTTGGTGCACAGATGTCATCTCCGTGAATCAGTTCAGGAGCAAATTGGTTCATATAGCACATTTTTCATTGTTGCACTCATTTACATTTATTAATGGTTCCAATTTTATTAAGCAGCTGAGAAGCACTATATTTCTGAGATCAATAAAATGATATTTAGATTTAATTGCCATTGTGGGATTACTTCAGTTTACTCCTACAAGATCAGATGCTTTTCATGTATGTCTAACAAAACATCATTCCCAAAGGGATTGAGATATTCTAATAATTATGAAACTCCTTTCTATATTTCTTTCCAAAGGGAGAGGAACATTACTTGAATCAAGAAGACTCAGAATGCCACTTTCTGTTCCGCATGCTCATTTTGGGGTGTGCTGCACAGGTAGAGAGGTGGACTTTCCTTTACTCAGGGTCATAACTGGGAATAGTACATTAGGAACAGTTAGCTGTACAAAGACAGCCAGTTTGGTCTTACTCTGGGCATCACATCAGTGCTAAGAAATATTAGTAGCAGGATGGAATTAGGAAGGGGAGGACCAGTTTTCTAAGGATATTCAATTATTGTCTTGTTTGTGTTTTGTGGCAAGGACGGTTATTTTTAATGGAAATATTTTTCCTTATGCAATTTTAAACAGATTTATCTGTTAATTTTCATGTTTTAATCTAATAATATATTAAGACATGATTTCTTATTAAACACTAGCATATACATAAATTCTAGCAACTCTCCGTAGTAATTGGGGAAGCTGGAGGGGGAAAGAAGATGGTACTCATCCCTAACCTAGCAGCAGAACACTATTCTGAGCTCTTAATATCTAATAATGCATTTTGGAAAGATAAAGATTGGGAAAAGGGTTGAAACATTTAAGCAGGAAGTGTGATGACAGGAAAGGTCTATGTTAGGTCAGAACCACAGGAACACTGAATAAAAGAGTGAAGAACCAGGGTGCACAGGGGTAGAGATGAGAAAGAGAAGGTCAGGCATGGAAATAAACATATCATGGAGTGGGCTTCTTGTGTGCAGTGCAGAGGAGGGCTTCTTAAAAGCACAGAGAGCTCTGAAAATGGTCTGTGTGTCCTTGGTTTGACTACTAATGCTTTCAGAAGCCACAGTGTTGTTGGTTAATTCCTCTTTCCAAACTCGTATATCCAGCTTCCTCCTATGGGAACAAGTTTCCTTATACAGGATCATGAATTGTTCCTGTTTGAAAGCAGTGGACAAAGAAGTCTACACAAGGGTAAAATTCCCCAAGGGTTTTCTGGGCCTGACCTGGACCTCCTTTTATTTCTAGTTTGACATGTGTTGCACCTTCCTCCTTTTGTCTGTGAAACCTGTGTTGTGTTACCAGCTTTTGCAGGAATGGGAACTGGGTGGTTACCTGTAGTGCAGCTCCTGCATAAACAGTGCAGTCAAGGGATGGTGGGAGATATTGGTGTGAATGCTCTTGGGCTGTTGGAGATTCTGTGATCTTAAAAAGTAACTTTTCATTTTCCCTACGGTTCAGAGATGTAAATGTAGGGGGGGACAGTTCTCCACCTCTTCCACAGAATGGTTTTCTCTCTGGAAAGTGAGGATGACAATGTTCCTTATTTCTTCCATATGGGAATTGCTCATATGGAGATTATTCTCATTAGTAACTTGCAATAAATTTACCAACCAGCTGGCAGATGGAACTGATGAGAAAAATATAACTAAATTCCTTGTTATACTTATAAAAATACAGGGATGGTTAAATCAACTGTGAATATTAATTTGACAGAGATGATACTGATAGGTGCTTTTCAGACTGTTTAGTTTTCTCCTGAGATCAATAGTACATCTACAACATTTTTTCCAAAGTGCTTGTAGAAAATATATTCTTACACTGTCTCAGTTGAGATTAATGCAGCACAGTTTGGGATACATAAGCCACCTGAATAAAATATGCTATTGGCTGTCCTTGTTTATGGAAAGTTAGTTAAAAAGCCCACTGCCATAAAAGCTTTTTGCCTTTTTTCAGGCTTGGTGACTGTGTATCCTGCATTGTGCTTTTCAGTTACCTTTTGGTGTTTGAAGGTATGTGATATGCAGCAAACTGCTTTTGCTTGTTTTTTTTCTATATTATTTTCTCTACAGTAATATGTATTATTTGTAGTATGTATTATGTAATTTCTTTCGAAACTAAGTTATGGGAGTCCATCAGTAAGTAAGTGGATATGAATATGGGGCTATTATTTTTTCTGTATATGCTTATGCTGGGATAATGATTTAATGATAAACAAATTTAAGGAAAGGCAGGGGAGAACTGACACAAAGAAACTGAGATATGCTTTTGCTGGATGAGATCATGGTTAATTATACATTAAAAGGCTCTATGCCTTTGCTAGGGAAGGAGCCCTGGGCTCCAGGTCTTACAATTTGAACTGGAATCTGCTGCCAGCTGGCTGCCAAAATTATTGGTTGAGGGAGCCCAGAACAGAGCATAACCAGAAGTCCAGAAAACCACTGTGTATGTGGAATTCTTGAATAAATCAATCAAATCTCTTCAAAGAAACTGACTTTGTGGGAGGCAAGGGAAGGAAAGAAGGAATGTAAAGATGAAGAGGTAGGGAAGGAAAAGTGTTATGCAGTCATATAGCTGGTATTGCATCTGACATAGTACCCATGAGGTAGAAGGTGTTTAAAGCTTATTCTGCCCCTAAAAAAGTCTTGGTCTTGTTAGAGATATAGATCGAGATCTATACAGTAAGGTACCCTGAGTCCTGGTAGTTACAGTGGTCCCAGAGGAGCTAAATTCAAATCTCAGATATTATGGCTTTCCCATTCTGGATGATCAGGGAGGAGCCTAGAGGCTTATTTTCCATTAACTTTTGCTCTCTTTTAAACATCTTATTCTTGAACATATTTAGTTCTTATTTCTGGTGCAGTCTCCCATGAAGGTTCAATTAACAACAGAGGGAGTTGGCACATGGTTTGAACTTCCTCTGGGTAAGAGCTTTAACTGGCAGTGGGAGTTACTGGCACTTGACACGTTATTTGTCCAGGGATATATGCAGGAAAATCAATTGCTTTCACTGTGAAGACACAGTAACACAGAAACAAAATGAAAAGTAATGAAAGTTAAACTAAATAAAAACATCATGTTAGAAATGAAGGGAAAGAAAAAAAAAAAGGGAAGAAGAGAAATGAGACATGAGATGAAAAAGAAAATTAAAAGAAACAACCTGATTTAAATTGAATAACTATGGTAGGTACTGAGTTAAACCAGAGAGTGCCACATGGCATGCAGCAAAGGTCTGAATTACTAAAAGATTGATATATAAAATACTGAAAAATATAGACAAATGAAAATAGAGTACCGTGCGGTGGGGTGGGAGAATTAATCAGAGCAGCAAAACTATTTTCCAAGGTATAATTTACTACTATAAGGAATGCTGAATTGGATATGATAGGGCATGAAAGGTGTTATATTTTTTTACACCTTCTGTGTTGTATTGCTGAGTTTTGTCAGCAGAGATAGGTGTTAATTCACAGGGCAGAGCTGGGACACTGAAAGTGTTATTGTTATGAATAAACATTACTATTTTCATTTTTAATAGAAGATTGAGAAAATCAGATGCCTGTCGGCTTCTGAAGAAATCAGGTTTTTGCAAAACACACACTCAGGCAATTTTATGCTTTATTCTGCATTCCCTGGTCTTTGATAATTCATGAGTGCTACAGAGTAGAAAATTTCTGAAATTATGTATCTCTAAACTCTGTTCAAGGATAGACTATGGTTTTGTGTCCTGCCCTTTTTCAGAATTTGGACAGAGGTATTGTAGGAATTCCTACCAAGATGCTTAGGAAAGTGAAATTAGTCACAAGTCTCCTTAGACGGAAAAAATCAGTATCTTGGCATGGTGCAATGAAGTGTTATTCCAGCCTTTTTAATAGTGACTGGGTTGTAAAACTGAGGATGTGGTCAGTATGAATAATATTGGTTTTTCTTCTTTTCAAAGAAACATTAGGACACTTAGGTATTGGAATTCCATTCCATTTCAGTGAAAGCTGAGACCCACCCTATGTGCCTTCAGATATGTGCAAATGTGTAAACTTAGGAATACTCAGTATGTAAGATATATTAAAATTCTGCCTAATGATATCTCTGATGTATTTTCAAGTGAATAAAGTATCTTATTCTTGTCTTCCCAAACTTATTTTCTACATTTGTATAATGATTGAATTCCAGTTCCAGTTGCATAGTCTGAAAGTGGGATGGTATTCCTAGAAACAGGAACGTGGCATTAGTCACTTGTTTGCTTTTTGCTTTAGCAACTTGTCAGCTCTAGTGTGGCTTCTCCCCAGTGGTTCTGCTGTTTCCCTTGCCATGCTGAAGCACACGTTGTGTCCTGTACATTGAGTCTCTATAGATCTCTTCTGCTGCTGCAGGCAGCCCTGCATTTGGAACAATGCCTTACATGTGTGACAAAAAAGGGAAGGAGACAGATGAACAGCTGCAGCTTGTTCAAGAGCTCCCTTCAAAGGTTTCAACTTCACAATGTACTTAGGCTTCCATGTGAAAACTAACTGAAAAATATTTTCAGAAACCTGACCTATTAGAATTGAACATTACACATTCTCCTTTTTAATTCCAGAGGATTAAACATGATTTGTCAACAGCTGAACACTTTAAAAAAATTAATTTAGCATGTATGTCTAAAATCCTGACATACCTGGCTTGCAGCTTCAGCTTTAAGATCTTCATCTGGATCTACACCAACTCTGTAAAAAAAACACAGAACACCAATCCTGAAGACGTATGGTAATGATCTGATCTATTTTAGAGAGCTTTGAGGGTAGAAATATTTCTCTTGGGTCACTCATTTCCTACTAGGTGAGAAGTGAGGAGAAGAGCTGGCAAAACATTGAGCACACTTTTTTAATCAAGGAAGTTCTTGCCACTCCTGACACCTGAGATTAGATCTTTACCTTGGCTATGATCCATACCTGGGGAGAGAGACAATCAAGCTGTTAACCTGTGCTAGGAAATCCTTAGTTGCTGGCAGAAGAGCAGTGATGAGGAACTGGAGTTAGAGAGGAATGTGGAGGATAGGATTACAGGACTCAGGTGTTTCCTGACTGTGCTGCAGTATGGATTGCTTGGATAGCATTTGGAGAGGGCTCTACTTGGCATACCAGGTACAGGGAAGCAAACCAGAGGGAAGGGGAGATTGCAGTGGGTGATGTGCAAGATGATGATAACCTGGGTGGCTTTTTACTAATATGGATGGGAAAAAATAAAATTGGCTGTTAAAAGGGACGTGGTGGAAGAATTGACATATTTTGAGTATGGCTGATCCTCAGAGCTGAGGGGAAATGCAACTGAGAAATATCACAAGTTGTTCACACCAAGAAAGTACAGAGACCATCGAGAGAGGATGAACAGTGCACCTTTTTATCACCCAAATCTGAAGCCCACAGCTAAGGTGTGGGCCCCTTGTATTCCTCATGAGCTCCCACATAGTATCAGGTCCACCAAGCTAAAACAGAATTTACTGATGCAAAGAAAAATGTACTCTCTAACTAGATATTAATTGAAGGCCACTTTACTGGTTTTCTGACAGTCTTCCTTCTGGAGTATAGTTTTACTTCTGGTAATAACATATTGAAGTATACTTTAAAATAATATTTAATATTAGCAGTTACATACCTCAGCATTCTTTCCTGTAAATATTATACATAGATTCTTATTGAGTTGGAGACAATGACAGGTACTATATGCAAAGTAGATGCTTTTTATATGTAAATACTGAAGGGAAGGAAAAAAAACCCTGTTTCTTTCTATCATAGCTCTTGAGCTTCAACAAATCTTAGTCCTTCAGGCATAAATATTTCTATCTTTTTATTAAAAATAACCATCTCGGTGCTGACTCAACAAGGAGACTGAATGAATAGCTGGTTCTCTTTCTTGTCTTCTATTGTGTTCTTGGTCCCTAAATTGCAAGAAGAAGCTTCTGATGGCACTAACCCTATTCATTAGTTTGGAGTAAAGCAAGTCAGGTATTTCCATTTCATTAAAATGGGAACATTTACATGTGAAAAGAAAAAGAATAATTACAGAGAGGTTTAACAGTGGATTTCTTACTGCCATGTACAGAAGTGTCCAGGACCTTGTCTGTGCTTGGCACTGTAAAACTGAGCAGTGTGACAGCCCTGCCCTGCAGCACGTGCAGTGTGAGTGCAGCGGGATGTGAAGGCTGGAGCAATGGCACAGTGCAGGTGTGATGGTCCCAGACTCATCAAACGGGGCAGAATCAGAAAGGGAATCTCAGGCTCCCAAGCACAGTCACATGCCCTTTTTATGAGGCCGTGCTGATTTGCTGGATGTGTTCACCAGCAGGACATTTTAGTGATGGGTCTGCACAGCTGTGGAAATACAAAAATCCAAAGTGTTTACACATGACAGGTGCAGCTGAAAGGCAAGGCTACAGCACAGACTTCCCAAAACTCTCGTCTCCTTAATGAGCTTAACTTGATCTCAAGGAAGGTGAGTTCTGGGACAGAAGTAATTTAGTCTTCATGGAGTTCTGAACTTACTGGAGCTGAGAAACTGCCACTTCTGGCTGACTGTGTGTGCTGGAGGTGTGATGTGTTATTACAGAATGAGTGAAGACAACAGAGAACGTTTCACCCAGGACTAAAAGGACTGTAATAGTAAATGGAAAAGGGTAGGCAGTGGGGCCAATAGGAACCAGGGTTTCTGGCTGGGATATTGTTTCAGTAACACTGATATAACCACTAGCTAATCACACTGACAACAGGAATCAACTGGCATTGTAAATTCAGACTTTTTTTTCCAAGTTTTGCAGAAGTTGTGGTATACTCAAGCTTATATAATTATATGCTGCATGTGTAATTTATTTTGCAGACAACAGATTATTATAATATGGCACATATGAAGCTACTGACATGAAATCTTAATGGAAGTATTACATTTAAAGCCAGAAAAAAAAAATCTAAGGAAATCAAACTTCTGTCTTAGATTTTTCACATATGAGAAAGAAAAGAAGGCTTGTATGCCAGTGAATGTCACAAAGAGAGAGCTGACACTTTTCTTTTTTCTTATCTCTAATCTCCTTTAAAACACATGGTCAGATGCATTTTCTGTTTTTCTCATGGAATGCTATGTCACTACTGGGAATTAGTGTGGATAGCACAATCTTACCAACTGATTTAAAGTCCCTTGGGAAAAGAACCAAATAATTCTCTGCATTCTATGGGAGACTTTTTTGATGTGTTAAAATAGCAATACATTTTTGTAATAATTTCACCATTGGGAATTTTTTTAAGTATGGATGAAGCAGACTCAGTCCAGTCAGTTCTGAAATTAAGGCTAATTATTTCATATCCAAAAATAGGCTTGGGAGCCTAACATGAGGCACGTAGCATTGCAAATCGTGGTCTGCTATAATTAAATCTGATATACTTGACATGAAATAGGATGCTATTTTATAATTTTTAAATATTGAAAAAATAAAGCATAAAAAATTATATGAGATAGTCAAGGCAACTGAAATTCATCACAAATACGCACTTCAAGTTAACATCCTTGACTTCTTCAAAAGACCTGCTAGATCTAATGCTATTGCCAGTAGAATTTGCAAACTTAAAATTTGTATAAATTACTACAAAGACCTTTAAGAAATACCCTGTTGTTAATATTTGTACAAACATCTTTCCCCTTTTAACATTCTTGTGAGAAGATCTAATAGATGCTCAGGAAAATATTTTCTTAGTATTTTTTTCTCCTTTCTTTGTTATCAGCTTTTGTCTCCTTTCTCCTGTTATCTTGCTGTACTTCTTGCAGTCTTTCTTTTCCATCTTTCTGTCCCACTTTTCTTGGTTGCTCTCTGTTACTTGTTTGCGTCTTCTAAATATTGCACACTTTTTTTTAATTTCTACCTTTCTTTTTTTACATCTTTTTATTCTATACATTAAATATTAGGATGACTTCTTTCCCATAAAGACAATTTATTCTATACATTAAATATTAGGATGACTTCTTTCCCATAAAGACAATTTATTCTATACATTAAATATTAGGATGACTTCTTTCCCATAAAGACAAATGCAAAGACTTTTTAATCAGTTCTATACTGCAATGAAGTTTATATATTTAGGTAGGCTTTAGTAATGTCTTAGGTCCAAATGCCTTAGATAAGAAGGAAATCAAAATTCAAAAGCTTCTCTGTATTGTCTTTTTTTGCTTTGGGTCTTTCTTTTTTCTTTTTAATTTTTTTAATTTTTTTTTTTTTAAATTGTGGGGTAGGATGTGTAGTGTGGTGTTTGCTTTTTAGTTTTTGTTTGTTCTGTTTTTAAATGAGGCTTGAATCAAAACCTGAATTCAGAGAATGTTTCAAGTTGCTACACTCAAAATCTGGAAGGGAAGCTTGTGACTTCAGCCAGTCTGTAGCAATTAGGCCTAGGAATTGCTGGGAACTATGCATTAGTCTGCACAAGTACCCTTTCAGTGGACAGTATTTAAATCCCCGTGTGCTATCAAGTGCATCATCTTTTTAGCAAGAACCAGGACAGTTTGTTAATAAGAGGAGGAATTTGTCACTGAATACAAAGCAGTCAATAACATCTCTTCTTATGTGGTTTGAAATGAAAATGGATCGAAAGATAAATCCCAAATTGTCAGGGGAACCAGTAGTAAGAAATACAAACCCAATCCATATGAATATCAAGTAGTAAATCACTATTCAGGCATTGTAAACTTTTAATTCCCTCAGTTGAAATCAGCACAAAGTCAACACTATAGGATAAAATCTCTACTTTCTACAGTGAAATCACAGAAAAGCATATAGACCCACATCTTCATGAGGATCTAGGCATGCAGAGCCCAACTTTTGGTGTCTATACTTACAAGTGTGATTCTCAGCCCTCCCTCACTTAAGGTGCCAATAAATCTGTAAATAGAGATGTTTCTCTGAAATCTGAGTTCTAATTACTGAAATTCTCCTTCTGGGCCTGTATAGGCTTTCTGTATTTGCAGAACCAAAGCCTGGTTCTTGCAAGTTGAATCTTGCTTGCAGCTCTACCTAGTCTAGTTTGCACCTCCATGTGCGCATGGGTTAGTTGTGCTCCAGGTGAGGCAGCCGGGACTGCTTTTGTTTGAAAACCTGTTCTGAGAGCATATAATTGATCCCATCCCCTTTTTATTTAATGACTGATCAACTCAAGTGTCCTGCAAAGAACAGGGAAGCCTGGTTTCATCAGTCCCTTCAAACTGAGGTGATTCCACACCACACCTCTCAGAAGTGCCTAAAATACTGGCCTGTGTGATGCCGTAAGTGGTGGGACTATCCACTGTTCTGCTCTACCAAACACTGTTCAGCTGCAAGCACCAGTGAAGCCTTTAGAAACAATTGTTTATAAGTATATTGTTTAATGCAGCTAATGATTTAATGAACAAAGCATCCGGCTTGGGAAAGTTTACAAGAGAAATAGCTCCTAACGTGAGCAAGTCTTCCCTGATCTAAGAGTGTGATGGTAAATGTGTACCTGGTGGAATATATCACAGAGCTGTCTCATAATGGTCAGAATTAGCCATGTCTCCTCTATTTCCTTTTCTAGATCAGTGGGGAAACAAAGGGACTTCAAAAGGTGAAAAGTCTGGCATCTCTTTCTATTTCTGACCTCATACTGTGAAATGGGGACAGCAATACTCCCTTCACCCTATTGCTCATCTGTTTTGTGTATTTAGCTTGTAAGTACAT